TATTATATATATATATATATATATATATATATATATATATATATATATAAAGAAAAAAAAAAAGAAAAAGAAGAAACAATGTGAACAGTACAACGACATGTTTTTATCTTTTATAAAATTTGGTGTAATGAATAGTAGTTGTTTAGATGATTTTTTGCGATGAACATTTTACTATATTCTAGTTAAATATGTTTTAAATTTCACGAACCAATATGCAGTTTTTTGCCCGGTACTTTTTCGATAAATGATACGATCGTATATAATATATATATTATTTAAAGTAGTTTTTCAAGAAATATAATGCAAAAGACAAACTAAATAAGCTTTTTATAAAATAGATTACAAGAAGAAAAAAATTCTTGCCATATGAAATCGCGTTGTGTAAGATCTGTGTAAGATTTGATTTTATCGATATTTGTTTTTATGTTTTTTTTATAATTAAAATATATTTTATTTTACGATAAACAAAATTATTTATATACAGTTATGTATAGTATGCTATATTGCAAAATATTATATATATATACATCAGATATTCTGTTACACATGTTCTATTACATAGTGATACTAGTAAAAATTAAGAATTCCAGAACAGAAATATATTAATTAGGTTTAATATATGTATACATATATGTATATTGCTCTGCTCATATTTTTATCAATATATTACAGTGAAATTTAATGGGAAATGTATATAATTCATACATGATATATAATTTTTCAATCATCTCTTTGCAAGATGCAAATATAAAGAGCAAATATTATATATAAATTATATATAAGATTAAATTTTTAATTTTTTTATAATCTTTTTTAAGGGCAATTATATTTTTATATAATCCATATTTCTATTTAATTATATTTTATCATTATATTTCTATTTTATTAAAAATTAATATATTTTTTTAAATAATATATAAAATGAAATTAATTTATCTTTGAAAAAAATAAAAAAAGCACAAATTTGAATATAATTAGTTAAGAACTATTTACTAAGAATCATTTATATTCAAAAAATTATTTCGTTATTTGAATGTTATTAATTAAAAACTAATAATTTATACATTGCAAACGAATGTACATACTACTAATATATATTATGTTTCTTAATATAAGTGTATAACTTTCAATAACTTTCAATATTTTATGTATTATTAACACATTAATATAAATATTTTCATATTTAATATTTTCTTATAGAACAGCGATTATATATTACACATTACAGTCGAATCTCTATATGCGTCATTAATCCGTTTTTAAGAAACAGATGAAATCGAATTAAATAAATATAGAATTAATTTTTTCAATAGAAATTGATTGAAAAAAAATAATCAATTTTGAATCTAGGCAATAAAATATTAAGCAGAAATTTAACTTTTATTGTAATGGCAAAAAATAAATCTTATAGTAAGAAATTTTTGACGAGTAATGGATTTTTGAATGAATATTTAAGCAAGCAAAAATATTTAAATATATTGAAACATTTTTTTGCCGAAAAAATATAATGAATATTAGAATATTGTATATAAGATCTAAAAAGAATAAGATATAATTAGCTATTTATATTTGTATCTTATAATCAAAAAGATTAACAAATCATATGTAGCATTCAATATTTAAATTATAACAGGTACTTTAATGAAATTTTTAAAAATATTTTTAGTATTCGGTAATATTACTTTATTTTTTTATAAATTACCATATATCATAATTTTAAGGTAATGTTACTGTAGTCTGTTTCAATGATATATCAATATAAAAAAAAAATAATAATTGGTAATTTTTATTGAAATAAAAAATAAATTCCTTTCAATTTTAATTGGAATGGATCGAATAATAATTTTTTGTAATAATGATCGATTTTAATTTGTTTCAAAAATGTTTTTAGGTTTTTAAAGTTTTAGGTTTCATTATATTGATAAAAAAAATCCATTACATATTAATATACGAAAAACTGTATTAATGATAATTCAGTGTTTTCTCGTGTTTTTTGAAATAAATATAAATTGTATTCACTGAATCTATAAAATTATGTATTACATAGACAAAAAAAATTATTGCTATTTATCGAGCGGGCATTCCTTTTATCATAAATTACTCTTTCTCTTTAACTTTAAACAATAAATACGATAATCACTTTAAACTATCATATTAGATATCCGTCCGGGTACCGGGCACTATTTATGTAGTTAATATTATATAAAAAAAAATTCATGTTAATACTACATAATAATTTTGAAATCGATAATAATTATATTAATTATAAGATATATATATTGTGCTAATAAAACAAAGAAAATATATAAATTGATTTAGAATGATGCGTGCAATCGAAATTAAGATATATTCAATGATTTATTTGATCATTTATTCTTCTCAAAACATTATATTAAAATTTCAATTAATAACAGATCTTTCATTGCAAAATAACGTACCATTCTAAAGTGCCTTGGATGACGCGATGATGGAATATCAAAAAAGAAAATTAAAATATATTTCTCAAAAATTAGAAACATTTACTCTTTATTTAGAAAATTATTTGTTTTGACTCAATTTATTTTTATTTGAATTAAAAATATCTAATAAAAAATAAAGTTTATGCCAATAATTAAATCATGAAATTTTATTACGATCTCTAACATTCAGCATCGTGTCATCTAATAAGAAAGGTTCGTTAATAAAAATTTTTTTACGCTAAATATTTATACGTTATTGATGAGCTTGTAATTTAAAATTTTAGAAGGAAATTAAAAGAGCTTAGCTTTAAAAACGAAAAAAAAACCGTGCCACTTAAATAAACATATCGGCAAGAATATTACAAAATGTGATTATAAAAATAAGCTGATTTTAAATAGTAATGAAAAAATAACTTGTTATTGCAATTTTATTCAATGAAAGAAAAAAACAACGCCAGACTGATAGAGTGTATGGAGCGTAAGAGAAAAAGAATGAAAGAAAAAAGAGAGCGAGGGGGGGAGAATGTTAAAATATTTTAATTGTTGCCTATAAATTAAGCGTAACTTACGCTTTTATATTTATTAATTGATTATAGGAATAACTTCTTCCTATTGTAATTTTTCTTATTGCACAAGCCTTGTAATTGTTATGCTTACATTTGTGAAAATAATTATTCAGATGTTTCATTGTTAAATTATACTTAGTACAGAAAATTAATGTTAGAAAAATTAATGAAAAAAATTTATCAATCCTATATAAAAGATTTTAACATTCAGAATACATTAAATTAATTTACAGTGCCAATGTATATTACATTACATTATGTGTTAAAAGAATTATTGAGAATTTTTCAAAAACATATAAAATATCTAATTTCTATAAATTAAATTAAATTAAACATATTACAATTAATATTTTCGAAAATAAGAAAAATTAAATTTTTAGTAGATATTATTTCATGAAACAGTTTTTTAAAAAACTGTTTTATAAATACGAAAAATATAAAAAGTAAATATTGATTTTTTGAATTTAATATAACAATTTTTTTAATTTCTTGATTATGGTGCTATACATGAAATATTCGATATTTCGTGGGATATTGATGAATAAAAAATATATATATATATTTATAAAACTATATTAATATCAATATAAATATATTTTTTTATTAGCTATCTTTTTCGATTATCACATTAGTATAGTCATTTTTTTAAATGACATTAAATTGCAAAATTATTAAAAATAAAACAAAAATATCAGAAGATAAATTACGGAACAACTAATTACACTTTAATGCATATTTAATGATACTTTCTTTTCGGACATGAAAACGAACATATAGTTGATGTAAATGATAATAATAATAATAATAATGACAAATTTACAAAATTGTGTCTCTGTGTGCTTAAAATTAAGCTATCTTTTTTATACAAATTATTTTAAATGCATTAATAATTATATATTTTAATTTATAATTTGTTAATTAATAAATGTTGTAATAATTTCAGTTTGCATATAATAAAGACAAAATAGAAATTTACAACATATAGTGGCTGCCTTTGTAAAATATAAAATTATAGATCAATAACTCATGATTTATGTAATTATGTAATTTTTTTAGATCAATTTTAAATATCAATTAATTTAGAATAAAAATAGTATAATAAATAAATATTTATTAAATAACTTGCTAAAAAAAGTTTACATTACATAATATAACTATTAATTTTTTTACAGCTACTTATATTTTACTTGATTATATTATAATGATATAATTTTTTTTATTATTCTTTTAATTCATGATAATACATTCGTGAAATCTATTTTACAGTAATTACATGATTCATACATAGATATATATTAATAAATAATATTAATATTTATTAACTAAGATATATAAAGAATTAATAAAAAATAATAAACTATACAGAATACATTTATTATAAAATGTAATGTAAACTTTGTACTAGATTATAATTTATTATAATCTAGTTTCTACTTATATGTTCATTTCAATAATGTTTAAAATTTGACTTATCAGATTTGTTAATATCATATAGTAAAATATATAAGTGATATATTAAATACATTGTATATATTTAATAACAGAATTGTGGTTAAACTAACATTCGTAATTAAAGGATGTGAATAAAAAGTTACAAAATATTTTTTCAAATTTTAAAAAATAGCAGCCACAAAAGATTAACGTTAATATTGATATACATTGTATATCAATATTGATATTAATATGCACATTATTATGCATCGTTAATAATATCGTTTAGTAGATGATAATTTTTCCTTTTTAGATAATAGTATTTCATTGTTATTTTATTTTGAATTAATATCATTTTCTTTTGTTTGAATAGTTATATTAAAGATGTTTAATCATATAACTAAAATAAGTAATGATAAAATATTATAAATAGAAAATATATTTGCATATTTCTATATATGTTATAGTTTCGATAGTATTTGCAAATAAATTATTGGCCCCCTTCTATGCAATTTATAAAATTAATGCTACCATTTAATTAAACAATAAAAAATATGTTTAAAAAATATATTTAAAATTCCAGATTTTGAATATTATATATTATACCAAATGATATTATAAACGAAGCAACTTTAAGCTGTATCTCCATTGAAGCAATAATGAGGGATATTTTGTTGATATTTTATATTTCTTGAAAAAAAGAAACTTGTTACGAATATTTCTACAGATTTTTTCATATTTGCTGTTTTCAACAAAAGTTTTTATTCGAAATAATAAACAAAAAGAAAAATAGGAAACGATAACTTATAGTAAGAGAAACAAATTCTTCTCTGGAGAATTTCAATATATGTTTTATCATCTAATATATGATTTTCTTAATATTAACGTAATCTTTTTATAAAAATGTATGTTAAAAAGATGAATGAGAATAAGAATTTATATAGATAGAAATCGTTCTACAGATGATATTACTGATCTATTTGTATCAATTTTTCATATAGAATCGATGAAGTATCTGAAATATGTAAATATTTTTAATTTATTTTGACTATATGAAATTTTAAAAATACCTTTATTTATTTTTTATTCGTTAATAAATAATCATTATGTTCCAATATTCATTTATAAGTTATATGTTTCCGAATTTTTAAAGATCTAAACTTTGTGGAAATTCCACATTTTTCGTTTTTTTTTTCTAATAATAAATGTTGCAGTTGCAAGGAGCAAATTTTCTACTGATTTCATCTTTAGTAACAACAAATTGATTTGGATATGAACAATCTGTTATACTTTTATTAATACTGTTATATTTTTATTAATAAAAAATAGTCTTGAAATCAAAACAAAAATCGAATGTTTTTCAGATTATATAGCTTATATATAAAAGTTTCTGTAAACAAATAGTTATCATAAATATCTTGCTACATAAAAAATTCCTTAATATTGCTTCAATGAATACATAACTTCGTATTAAATTAGATATAAATTTTACCCTTCATATGCATTTAATGCTTCCCGTAATTTATCTACAATTTTTTGATAAAAATTAATTTGCTCTGTGAGATGTGTTTTCATTGTTTGAGTTAAATAAATCTCTTGTTCTGTTTGAAAATGCATTTCTTCGGCGAGAAGAGCACGTGCAATTACATCTGTTCGATGAGACAGATCTCGTAATTGTTGCGGCTCCATTTTGTGTTCGCTTACTAATTTTTCATAATCTTTTCGTTTTTGAACAGCAGTCTAAAAAAATTAATGAAGAAAATAAAAAAAATTAACAAATTTTTAGTAAAATTATATCAATAATAAAGAATAAAATTTTTTTATTAATTACCTTATGTATACTAATTACATCTGGAAAACTACTGATAATTCCTTTATAAATATGAAATTTATCAGCAAGAGGTTCCCAATCAAATTTAGGTTGTTCTTCATATAACTTGCCTATATCATTATAAGCATCTCCTGTCACTTTTAACGCATAAGTTAATCTTCCTCGACTACTGTCATCTCCTTCTAATGCATGGCTTAATGCATTAAAACTTTGACCAATTTTCTGAAATTCTCTTTTATATAGAACTTGGTTTTTTTTTGTTTGATCAACAGCCATAGCCATAAAATTTTTAACTACTGGATCTAATCCACTTATAAATCTACTAAAAGTATCTGTTTGAATTTCTACTTTTATAACATCTAAAGTTGTTTCAGGGCATTGGATAGCATTAAAATAATTTACACCTAACAATTCATCTTTTTCTGCTTGTCTTTTACCAGCCTTCCATCTTTTCTCATCTGTACATGTTATAAAATGTTCCCAGACGCGACTACGCGCTAACACAGGATGTCTACAAACATAATCAACAAATTCCTGCAGTTGTGTACGTCTATGTTCAATAAATTGTTCTTCATATCTTCCAGATATTTGTTTATCTGGTAATGGTGGAATAGGAATAAAGCAATATTTTTCTTCCAAACGTTCATGTAACCAATCAAAATGTTTATATCTTCTTGAAACTTGAATATTGTTAAACTATAACGAAGAATTAATATTATTTGTATATTTTTCTATTAAAAGAATATATACAGAGATACAAAATTATATACCGTTGGTGTAAGTTGATAAACTATAAAACTCTTAAGACCCTTGAGTTTAGATTCTTTTTTGGGAGATGTAACTACACAACTATAAAGTTCTCCTCTTGAAACCCATCTATGACGTCCATTTTCACTTTCATCAATATATATTTTTTCATTTTCAGGAACATTTGCTACTTTCATTCCTAATAAAAAGCTATCTTCTCCAGATTTTATTAATGTAGAAAATTTATTATTTTTCTTTGGTATATTAGGTATAGGCCTTTCAGGTATCACAGAATGAATAGTTTGTATAGAAACTAAATCTCCATAATCAACACTATGATGCTGTGATAGTTGTAATATATGTTGCTGTTGTTGTTGTTGTTGTTGTTGTTGAGGAATGTATGCTTGTGTTTGACCAACTTCAGAATCATCATCCCAATCATCATCCCAATAATCTCCGGAACTCTGTTGGGATGATGTCATGGCATCTAATACATAAAATTCAAATATAACAATCTTTTACATCAATATATCTAATTATAAATTTGTTATATATAATAAAGCAATAAATATACTAGGAACAGATGTTGAAGGTTCAATAATTTGAACATATGCTGCTGGAAACAATCCAGATTTTCCACTCTGATTAAAACCTTCACACCATCCATCACCCACATTATCTCTCATAACAGACAATATTTCTCCTGCTGTAATAGACAACTCTGATGTTCCTGGTTCTCCTGTGAAATCGTATAACGCTCTTACCTGGAAAAAATATCGAATGAGAATGCGGCAAAAATATTCGAAAAAGAACAAAATTATCCATCGCTATCGCATAAAAGAATGAGTCATGATACAAAGAATTAATCAAACTATGCAATGACAAATTGATCATTTTTGTCTTCATAGCTTCTTCTTTTTAAAGTTTATATACCTGGTGGCCTTCCATTGTAAGTACATATACTAATAATAATTTCGAATTTTAATGACAAATTTTTCTTATTTTAAATTGTTTAATTACGCCCGGTCACATAACTACATTGATCTACTTAGCCATATGATTGACATTTACGTATTTGCGCTTTAACGTGTGTGCGATTCTGTGTCACATAAATGAAAAACTTAAACGACTGTACCACTAGTATCTATCGCACATAATACTTTTTCAGTACAATGTATTTCTTAAATATAAAATATATCTGTATTGAGATCGAAAATAAATTCTAGGCATAGAGATAAATAAATAAATGAAATATAATTCAATAAAAAAAAATATAAAAAATTATTTTGTAATTGGAGGTTAGATGTAAAACATAGGGTGCTTGAAATTACAATACGATACTGATTCCGGATCCGCCTCTATGAATTAATTCTTATATCACACGTTTTGCATTATACTTTTGTCCGGGAATGTACATTTGAATAAACCAAAGTGCCAGTTGCGAATATAAAATTAAAAAAGAACTATGTATTTTACAATTAAATTGTGAAAGTTTATATAAATTAATTTTTAGATCATAGATATAATTAAAGAAATAAAAATTAAATAGAAATTTATTATATGCATAAATATTTCATAATGAGTATTTTAACATTGAATATTCTGTATATCTTCGCGTTATATAAATTTTTTACATTTTTGTTTTAATTATTTTTAATTTTTCATAAATATATAAAAACTTGCAATTTGTTAGAATACATAAAATAAAAAGAAATTAAATTATTTATTTAAGTTTTAATTGATTATATAAATTTTTTTAAATGTTAAATATTCATCATAATATATATAGTCTTATAGATAATATTTATATTATATATATAATATAAATATAAAATATATTTAATAATAAAATTTTTTTTGAAGTTTTCCTTTTCCTTTCTATAGACAATAAAAACTTTCAAACTAGAAATAATAATAATAATAATAACAAAAAGATTAAATATGAATATGTATTTTCTTATTAAATTTTATTATTTTTTATTATAAACTTTTAAATTACGGTCATAGAAATAATTTAATGTGAGGATTTTGATTCCTTGGCATTTTGAAGACTTTGAGTAATGTACAATTTTGCTAAACTTTGAGCACAAAATTGTGAAATGTGTTCACTATATGTATTAATCTGTCCAGCAACAATCATTGGATTCAGTCTAGGTGGAACAGGTAATGGTCTCATCAATTTATTTATATCATCATCTGGTAATGGAGGCTCATCTTTTGCAGCTCTAGCAGCATTTTCTTGAGCTCTTTTAGCTAAAAGTCTATTTTTTTCTTGTTGTTGACGAACAACCAATTGTTGATATCTATTAAATTTCATAGCTTCTTGATTTAATTCATCTACACGATCCATTAAACAACGTAATTGATTTTCCAAAACTGTAGCTGTTCCAAGATCTAAATATTTAGTACCTTCTTCTTCTGGAATCATTTCCTCCAATTCAGACATCATTATATTGGTTAAGTTACTATTTTTTATCACAACTGGAATCTCAATAAATAAATTCTCATAACCAATCTTTAAAGTACGCAATGCTTCTGGTGTAAATTCACCTTCTTTGTACATTTGTATAGCTTGTGGAGTAAGTCTGTATGCTTTCAATGTTAAAAAACCTCTAGCTGACTTAGCTGTATCATATATAAGCACCACTGATTCTTCAATGGAAGTTTGATAATGATATTGTGATTCTAATAGAGATACATTTAAGAAATTGCCAACATCTGCACTTTGATACCATCCAACATGAAAATGATCAACATTTACCCTGAAAAAAATACATATTAAAAATTATATTTATCTATTTTATAATATATAGAAATAATTTTAAGTACTGAATATAATTTACCAACGAAGACGACGCATCATGGCAAGTTGATATTCTTCTTCGTCCATAATTTCATCATTTTTAGGAAAAGGAAAACAATTCGTAATTTCAAGACGATTTTGAACAACTAAACCAAGCAGAGCTCCTTGAGCAACATCCATGTTACTCATTGATTCTTCATGACAATGTTTTACCATTTTCATGACTACTAATCCGTCACATTGCACATAATCTATTCTAGGCTCTACTTCAGGAATTCTTCTGCTTTGAGTTCTTGAGTTCATTTTTAATTAAAAATTCGTATTAATTTAAAATAAACTTTTTAGCATATGTTTTCAGTTATTTTTCTATTAATCTAAGTTGAATTAAGAAGAACCTCTATGCTTGAAAAAGCAAAGCATAGAAAAATAAATAGTATAGATATGAAACTAATCGTTTAATATTATAGTATAATATTTTAATGTAAATATTAATATTAGAATTTTTGCTAATATAAGAAATAATATTTTTATTGAAAAGAATTAATTTCCATATCTGTAATATTTAATTATGATTAAATAATGATTATAATAAATCAAAAATCTTGATACTATGTGAGTATAAGTTATATATACTATATATATTTATTTTATGACATATTTCCACCGCGTAAATGTGAAATGATCTGCAACTTTCTTTACTGGTTTACTGTGTATATAATTGGTTTAATTTAATAATTGATAAAATTTAATACTAATTGAAAAAATGGATAATATAGAGGGAAAAATAAAAAAATGGATTATACTAATTCAAACAGGAAAATTAAATGATGTAACAGAAGATATACAGGTTTGAAATATTTTTTTTAATATAATTTCATTCATTGTTCTAATATTGAATTAGAAATTTTTCATTTTTTTAATTAATAAATTTCATACTTGATTTTTACAGACAAATGTGCTTAATCAAAATGAAAAAATTAATAAACATATGTTCAAATTATTATTATATCTTTCACATACTGCAGACAAATGTGATAAACAAAATTTCACCATAGGAAAAGAAATATATAAATTGGCTTGTACTTTGTGTTCAAATTTGATTGATGTACCAGATAATAATAGATTTGTTTCCAGTTTATTTCATATAATTCGTTGTTTATTAACAATGTATATGTTTAATGAGGCATATAATATATGTTCTTATTTAAAAACAAAAATATTACATTCTTATTGCTCTGACAATGTGAGTGATATATTAATAAAGATAGCTTATTTATGGCACAATGCAATTAATAATGAATTTATCATTTTACAACAAGATTTATTAAATTTGAAACATAATTTACAATTAAGAAATATCATTAAATATGAATTGGAAATAATACAAATTGTATATAAAAATCCTACTAAGCCTTTACTTACAAAAATTAGTTCATATTTAGATAAAATTGCATTGATAAATATAAAACCAAATACATATTTTTCTGATTTCTATGCATTTATTATTGATTATTTATTACAAATAAAATTATTTTTAAATATTGAAGATAAATATGTCATATGTCGTCATATGCTTCATATAACAAGCAGATTTATATGTGAAAATATTAATCAAAACTTAGTATTAAATATTTTAAATACCATAAGTAATTATTTCAAAAAAATTTTAATAGATGATGAAGAGTGTTATCAGTGTTTTTTATTTTTTGAATCTGTGTGCCTTACATTTGTGAAACCAATTGATTATTTAATAAATAGTGTTAAAAAAATTCAAGAATTAAATGATAATTATTTAAAACTTACAAATAAATATGGATATATAGGTCCTGTTAAATGGATGACATTTAGTATTGTTCAGATTTTACAAACTTTGTTTATATATTGGGAAACACATATAAAAATTGAAAAAAAGATATATCTAAAAAATGATTTATTATTAGAAACAATAAAGCTAATTGGACATATCAGTATATGTTTTCTTAAACAAACATCAGACAAATGTAAGTCTTGCCAAAATGAAAATTGTATGGTTAAGAAAGATATTTATAATGCAGTAGTGGTAAAAACTACATGTATCAATTTCATTAGCAAATTTCCTAAAAGTGATTTATCAAAGGATATTTATGTACTTATTAGAAGATTTTTTGAACAAAATATAGTATTCATTCATGAAATGAAAAAATGTAAATGCAAATGTTGGACACATTTATGGTCTACTTCTAGTGCTTTGATTTATAATTTAGGTATAATGACTGATTGTTTTTATGAAGAAAGTGTATCTTTATTTTCCTTATTATTTACTTCTATTATACAATTTGATGGAATTGAATCAAAGTCACAGTATATTAATCTTCAGAATCCTATTAGTTTTACATTACATAGAATAAGTTTTCTTCATTATAATCATAATATGTATAGAGAAGCAATGACTACAACTGCATTAAATGCCTTATTGAGCTATAATGATCCAGATTCAAAAGCATTTCGGATGTGGGCAAATATAAAACATAAGTCAGTAACTTCCAAAGAAATTATGGAAATGACCATACTAGCCTGTTTACAGAAAGATAAATCAAAGATAGAAGAATTAGGATTATTTATTGAATTATCAAAATATGATCTCATTGAAATATGTTTAAAAGAGGCAAAAGGTTTGCAAGAAGCAAAAGTTAATCTCACTGTTGCTATTCAAAAAGTTCTTAATGAAATGAAAACATTACAAACAAATCCAATACAATATGCTCGTGCGGTACAAATGTTAGTATATCATTCATTACATTTTGATTACAATGAAGATATTTTAGAATATATTAAAGAAGCTCTTTCAAGTTTGAAACAAATTAAGATAGATAAATCTGTTTTGTATTTGCAAGGCAATTTAGAATTTTATATTTTTGTAACACAATTACGTATGATAAACAAAAAAATTCAAGAAGAAATAGAAAATATGAAATTTGCATTATATGCTACAAAATTAAATGAAATTGGGGAGAATGAATCTCATGATGTAATCCCAGCTTATAGCATGATAAATATTAAAGAAGATTCTAGACTTATGATGTATTTACAGACAGCATTAAAAAAATGGGGAAAATATTTAAAGCAAAATCTAGTAAGTTTAATGAATAAATGAAAGTTTAATATATATATTTTTATAAAATTAATATTTATTAAACATTTGTTAATAGAAGGAAATTACCAATGGATACGAACCATTAATAACTTTACGAACATTAATAATAGCAGGTGAATATGCTCATTTGTATAGATATCAAGAATGTGAAATCAATATATGGAAATTTGCATATACATTAGCATTTGAATTACAAGACAATTCAACAATTATTTATGGTATAAAAATTGAAATTTATTTTTTTAATTTATTATATATAAAATATATAAAAAAATTTAATCAAATTATCATTAGTTATTGGACGTTGTGTATCATTGAGGCATATCAATTATGAATGGATTACTACTGCTAAAAACCTTGCCTTTAAATTGAAAGATACTAATGATGAAGACACAATTTATGCAATTGCTATTTTTTGGATTAGTTTATCAGATTTTTATTTTGAATGTAATATGGTAAGTTTATTATTTATGGAC